AAACATCACCCTTTGAAGTTAAGATGACAACAAAGGACATAATACATTACCAAGAACATGTTGACAACGATAGGTGCATGCATATCACAATTAGTTGTTGATCAAACTATGTTAAAGCTAAAATATGAAAGAAAAAAAAAGGAAAAATCCATGGTTTTTTAAGCAAAACTTAAAAAGAAAAATTGTTCCTTTTGGTTTATTTCTCTGATGCTGAAGACTGAAAGGACAGTATGGGATACCATAGCAGTAAATTTGTGTTCTTTGAGACATGAAGCCAAAATTTAACTATAATTAAAAATGTCAAAATTAGGAATATCTTAATTTTTTATTTTATCAATTAGGATAATTGTTAAGGATATATTTGTAGTCCTTTTAAGGACATACTTGATTGAAATTTTGTGAGTGAGAATTTTATTTTTTCAGAAAAGCTTGTAATAGTAGTTTAGAAGTGCTCTCTCATGGTTGAGTGTGCTTCTCACTTCCCTGTAGGTCAAGTCAGTAGAAGCTTGTAATAGTAATAACCACTTCTTTCTAATATTTATTTAATGTGTAGGTATGATTGTGGTATGTTGGTGATTAAATATATGGAGTTATGGGACCACTTACCTAAATTCGATGGGAAAAAAAATGCCTGATTACACAACGGTTTGTTTTATTTATGTATATGTTTATTTGCATATGATTTATTGATAAAAGTTTCTTAAGTGTAATATTTAACAAGAGTATTGTTATTGCAGGAACAATTACAAGTTGTGCGACAACAGATGGGTTGTCAGTGGGTATTACACGAAGATAATGTTCATCGCACTAGGGTACTAAAGAAATTTGGGATGCTTTAGGCATTGATTAACTCATAAAGTTGTACAACATGACCAAATTCAATACATTGAAGTAGGGGAACAATAAATGTACATATTGATTAGAATGTCAACGAAATATGATTGATTAGGACACAATGAATGTTATTGGTTTTTAGGATGTTTAGTTTTTGTAATGAAGAATAAGTTTCACTATTTAATGTTTATGAATTTTATGACTGATTATAAAATGCTTTATGGATGAAAATTTAAGTTTGGTTATTCATAAAAGTTTGGATGGCAACCATATTGATGAAATCTGTCTTAAGAAATGTAATGATTCATATTGAATTAAACAACTTAAGAAATCAATTATTGATATTTAATTAAACCTTTTTTATCCTTGTACA